TATTTGTTTACTGGATGGGATGAAATGTGCAAGCGCAATTCGCTAGCATTTCCATATGTTGTACATTTAATTGTTTATAGGGTCTTAGGGCTTATAGGGCCTGTATGTATTTGTTATGTATTCTAAGTAAATGTGCCGATTTGACCTTTGAAAAATGTTCTTAACTATACAAATGTATGTAAGTAATTACATATATCATGAAAAATTTGTGGGAAAATAATTTTTAATACACACGTATATACGTACAAATCGCTAGCTTAGAGTGAAAAGTTGCTAAGTCCAATTTTTAAGAAAACTCATATTTTGATACAGGAGGCTAAAAAAATTTAAAATGGATTGTTTCGAAAAGGATAATGGTGCTTTGTTATATTTATTCTCGTTTATATTCAATGAAAAGCAAACTTGCTAACAAGCACCGAAAGTCCGATAAGGTCGAAATAGTAGTAAAATGTTCTTTTAGGTAAATACTGCATATTTGGCAACTTTCGTAGAAATTTTTTAAATCAGCGATGGTCAAAATTAAAAAAATATTAAGAAAATTAGGGGCTTATAAAAATTTAAGTTAAATTATTTAACCTCCCTACCTTTAAAACTCCCAACAAGCTAAGTCTAACGATATACTGCTGTACATAGGGCTGCCAACTGGTTTTGTACCAAACCGGTGTTTGAACGGAACCGTCGTTTTTTTCTGGTTTTTAACCGAACCCTGAACCGAACCGTTTTCATTTTGAAATACCAAAAACCGAACCGAAAACCACCCCAAAAAAATGGTTCGGGTCGGTTCAAAATGAAATTCCATTAAATAATTTTTCAAGTTTTGTAACTCACAACTTTGTCTAAAAATGCAAAGCGTATGGTAAAAATACAAAAATTTTTTTGTTTGATGGCAACTCCGTGAGTTGTAATTTAGTCCATATAAAGATTGCTGCAAATTTTTTTCATATGGGACAAAATGCTTACCAATGCAAAAAAAAACTCGGATTTTTTTCGTTATGATTAAAAAGTTTGAAACTTTGATGCAATTTGGTTGAAGTTTTATACTTTTTGTACAAAGTTTGAAATTTGGATTTAAATGCTTGTTGTTATATAACCAGCTATACATTTATAAAAAATTAATGAACATTTAATTAACAAAAGAAAAATTGTCGAATGTCGCACCCATATTATTTTGACCAAAGGTATACTTGTACATATGAAGTTAAGGCCTAGTGTAAGCTCCAACCTACCGAAATAAGAGTTTCAAAATTAAGTCAAGATTTTGAGGGTCAATTTAAAATTTTGAGGATGCTGTTTTAAAAAGTTTATTCAAATTTTTATAATTTCGCCTTGATCGCGTTGATTTTAAATATTTTTTTTTTCTAATGCTATTACATATTTTGAATGGAAGAAAATCCGTGAGATATTGCCAAAACTCAACTTAAAACTGAAAAGTTGTCCTCAAAAATTCTTATTAAAAAGTTTTTGCAAAAAGTTGGACTAGGATTTATATGGTTTAAAAAAATAAGCATTAAATAAACAAAAGAAAAATAGCCAAAACTTGCCAAAATGTCGCTCCCCTATTTATTTTTCCACCACTATTCATGTGAATATTTGAAATTGATCTCAGTAACAAAGCATTTAATTTTTATATTTTTGTAATATTTGTATCCTTTAGCATAAAGAAATTGAGCCATTTGAACCGATCCGAGCCGCGGTTCAGGGATACTCGTGAACTGGTGCAAACTTTTTCTAAGTGGTTCGAACCACTAAACTGAACCGGTTACACATCATTTCAAAGGTTTAAATATAAAATAGTCGAGCTGATAAAAGACAAGTGCATCAAGTACGAACATAACGGTTGTTTTTAAATAAATGAAAAATGGAGGGTTCAGGAACTATACGGAACCTATTTTGATGTTGTAATCGGCCATAGCTACAATCTACACTAGGTTCTGTTTCGGGTGTATTTCGTGACTTTTTTTTTAGCACCGTGTTATTAGCGGTGGTTTCTTTGGGCTATGAAATAGATTAAGATAAGTTTCGTGCTTTTGCAAAAAACACTGCCAGTTACTTTGCGCAGTGTTATTCATGGTATAACATGACTCCAACTTTACACAACACACAATGGTGTTCTACACCATGGTAAGGGTAAAGTCATAATTGACACATATCGTTGGCTTAGTTCGCAATCGTGCTAAGTCCATTTTTTTTTTCAGGAGGGACAAAAAACCGTCTAACTTTTTTTGTTGTCAATATTTTTCTAATCTGTAAATGCAGTTTTATTCCTTAGTTCGTCTTGTTTTATTACCAATAATCGGCCAATTTCAAAATAAAGCTGTTGCAGACTTATAGGCTCTTTTAGGACTTACCACATTTTCTCTTTAAGATTTTGTTCTTTTAATGTGGACTTGGCACATTTTCTATCAATCGTTTTTCCATTATTTTTTATTGTTAAAAGATTCAATTGTTTATTTTAAATATATTTTATTGTTTTAAAATTAATTATAACCTAATACAGTTTTTTCATTGCTATTAACGAAAATAACTATTTTAAGTCGTAAATTTATGTACCATTTATAAAAGAAAATAATTAAAAGCAAGTAAAGAGGTATAAGTTTGGGCGAAACCGAACTTTATCTACCCGGCGCAGGTATCAAATACTGTCGTAAGCAGGGGCTTTTTCCCGATTTCAAACGTTTTCGATAATATCCTGAGTTAAACTCAATGAAATAATTGAACCACGTTTAGTAGAAATCGCTAAAGTGACTACCGAAATACACCTTGTAGTCATAAAGTGGGCGGTGTCACGCAGTCTTATTTATTGTTAACCCTGGAAGTGCTTCGCTCTTTTGACCCTGTTTGCGGGCTTGTTAGTCGAAACGACTAACACCAACTTAGAATTGAAATAACAAACATAAAAGAATTAAAAACGAAAATACATTTTTCAATTTTAGTTCTTTATAGTTTTTCAAACACATAAACAAAATATTAAATACATTACATTATTTTCTCTGTTACATATTATAAAAATGGTAAATGACTTCTGAGAGAGGTACGAAGCGAAACACGATTTTTGTTAGTCGAATCGACTAACGAAGCACGTCCAGGGTTAAGAGATTGTTGTAAGTATTAACTTGGAGTAAATTAGCGTCTTCAGTTATTGAAATATCAGAGTTTCCGTATTTCTGAAATTTACCGTTAGATATACGATTTGAATAATTTTCAACGAATTGCTTTTCCGTACCAGGCTTATTAAGTGCACCGAATTTGGTAGAAATTGATAAATCGGTTACCGAGTTACACATTTGTGGTCATAATCTAATTTTCTGCTGAGTGGTTATCGCGACCATCGATTTTAAGTGAATTAGATTTTCAACAGATTTCTTAGCTAGACCCTAAATAAGGCTCGTACCGAGTTTCGTGAATGGGCTACTGAGATACAGCATTTTTTAATAGGTGGGCGGGGTCACGCCCATTTTCCAAAAATTGCACAATAATATTTTTTACAAAAATTCTACTTCACATACTAATTTTGAACAATTTGCATGCAATATTTACTGAAAGATCGTAGTTTTTGCATCTTTAGAAAATACCTTTATAACGGAAGTGGGCGTGGTTACATTCCGATTCGCCCATTTTTAATACCAACTTACCTTGGATAAAGGGCAACCTACATACCAAATTTCGTTGAGATATCTCGAGTTATCGTGTACACGGACAGACGTGTATATATATTTTTTTGATTTTTTTGGACTTAGCACATTTGCGTACCAATGCATACCAACAAGTAAAAACGACATTACGGTAATTTTCTTTTTTGGTAAAGATGTATTTTCAGTTATGCAATCTTACTGCATCAAAATCTCAATTTACATAAAAAGTGGACTTAGCACGTTTGCTAACTAAGCCAACGATATGTGTCCTGGCTGTTACTATCCGTTTTTATACCCGAGCACACTTGTACACAAGGGAATTCACATAACGCTTGTTTTATCAGGCCAAACGATTCGAGATAGATATAGACAAATACTTCTTTTCACCGTTGGACGGATGGTATTGAAAATGCGCAAAATCGGATGATAACCAGGCCTACCTCTTATATAACGGTAGTTTTCAGAAATACGAAACCTTCGATATTTTAGTAACTACTTAAGCTTATTCACTCAAAATTGATATTTACAATCATGAAAATGAGAATATTATAAATTATATATTTTTGGAAAATGGAAAATGTTACAGTTGTTGGCCAAACGGCTGAAAAAAAAACGGACAATAACCACGCCCACATCCCATATAATGGTAATGTAGACAAAAACGAAAGCTTCGATAAATTAGTAAATACTGAAGCTAATTTATTAAAAATTAATGTTTGCAATATTTCTTTAGCAAAAAATACGCTTATAATAAAATTTTGGAAAATGGGCGTGACCCCGCCCACTTATGACCACATATCTGTATCTCGGTAACCGTTCGATCAATTTGTACCACTCCGTACGATTATTGTGCTTGCCACACAAAGGAAATACGTTGAAATTTTGAAATCTTACTAAAATTACGCCCACTTTTCTATAACGGTAAATTTCAGAAATGCTTGAAACTTCGATATTCCGAAATTTAAGGACGCTAATTTTACCAATAATTGATACTAACAACAATCGCTTGAAAAGAAGTAACAATATTACTTGCACTTTACTATACTAAAATTGAATGGGCTAAAAAACTGCATTTTCTAGAGAGCGTAAATAAAAAGTGCAATATTTGAATGAAATTTTTCCGAATTTTCTTTAATTTTGCACAATGTTTGGAACTCTGATTTTTGGGGCTTTTGTTGTAGAATTAACCATATTTTTATAAAAAATGATCGAAAAATAAAATATATAAAAATAGTTGCCCGTATTGTAGAAAATTCGCTGTAGCTAAACTTTATTGACTGACTGTATGATTTCTCAAAGTTTAGTAATTTTCCAAAATCACACTTTCTGTGTTCGAAATGCACATTGGATTCTATGAAAAAAACTTACGTGATTTTTGTGTTCCAGTAACTCCTTCAGATTCTCCTCTATTATCTCCTCATCAGTCATTGATTCAAGACTTCTTTTCGTCTGTGTGCTGTTGCTACTTGGGGCGTCTGTGGTAGAGATCGTTTCACTTTTAAGCGTCGATTTGGAATCCACTTTCTGTAGTGTTCTATTCAAACTGTTACCTTTCACAGTGTCGCTTGATTCTCGTCTGGGCAATGTGCCAGAGAGTGATTTCAAATCACTTTTTGATTCGACACTACGCAATGTTGATTTTGAGTCTGACTTTATTAAAATTTTATGATCGCTCCTCAAAGAGCTTTTAGATTCGGCTTTCGAAAGCGTCGCATGTGTGGATGGATGCTTTGAATCACTTCTTCGTTTATGCTTCGTGTCATTTTTAATTTGTATGACAAAATCGTTTTTTGTGTCATTAACTGTTAAAAGTTTTGATATATTTTTGGGATTTTCTTTTAAATTTATTACTGTATTTTTTGGCACAATTTTGTGTGAATTATGTGTTGGCACTTCAATTGCGTGAGAGTTATTTTTGAAACGAACGCGATCGTGTTTTAAATTATCAGTTATTTCAAAGCGCACATCGTGTTTTGCATTATTATGTGATTTCACTGGAATTTTGTGAGCTTTTTCATTGGTCACTTCGAATTTAATGTTCTCAGACATATTTTTCAAAATAATTATGCATATGTATGTATGTACATATATATTTGTGTGTATGTTTTTAAATGCTCCGCCAAATCACTTCACAAACATCTGCTATATAAAACCTAATCTAAATTGGCGGAGAAAACTTTAAACATATGTATGTATATACTTCAATACGTGTGTTTTGTACGCGCCGCCTTCTAAAATACTACTGAATTTGTTTTAAGATTTCCATGCAAGTGCTTGCGTGCCGATCATTCGACATTTTCCACACTTTACCGAGAACTTCGGCACCTTCCGCGATCTTTCGGCTTTATTACTCTCTGTTTAACATTTCCAGAGCTCCGAATGCCCGTAAATGAAATTTATATATGTACATATATGTATCTATATGTAGACCCATTAAGGTGGAAAAAAACTCGTTTTTCGTTAGTAGATGTCGTTCGGATTTAAAAAAAAAAATCAGTTGATAACTGCAAAATATTTACGGGTACATCTTGAAATTTTTTTGATCGAATTTCTTAGATCCACTTCAAGCGTAGACTGGACCCGCAAGCCGTTTACGTATGCCTTTGGCACCGCAATAAACATTTTTCTACCCGAAAAGTTAACAGTTTTTTCGCTCTCCACATTAATTTACATACACATGAAAACAACCATACAAAATTTTTACAATGAAACTCTTGCGAATGGCGAATGCGAGAAAATGCAAATTAAAAGCACTGAATTTTTTTAAGAAAATATCAGAAGTATTCGCAAATACACCGTGCTATGTAATGAAGTCCATGAAATCTGCTTGTTTGTTTACTATATCATAAATTAGCTGCGGAGAGATCGGTTGAGATCAGCGATCAGTGCAGATCAGCGTGCAATGGAAAACATTG